AAAAAAAAAAAAAAAAAGCAGCTTTTACATGTTATTTGTGCAGCCTGGCAGATTGCTGTGGCAGAATTAAGTGTTCAGTTGCACAGACAACCTGTTTAAAACCAAATAGTATTTGTTACTGTCCCTTTCAGTTCAGTAGAAGCCATTTCCTTCTTGGGGAACCAATGACATTTCTACCATCCATACAGTCTTCTTTTCTGAGCATGACCTTGCCAGAGCAGACTGATTCTGTAGCAGCTGGAAACCAGGAGAAACAAAGCTTGGGGAATTGTAGTAAGTCTCTGAAAGGAGACCATGGGATAAGAACTCACCAGGAAGATCTCCCTGGAAATTTTGTTTTGGCATAGACATCTAAACATCTCTGTAACAGTATTTTTCCAGAAACTAACCTTAGCAAAGCTTCATTTACTCAAATTAGGGCTCAGCTTTATCAGTCTAGAAATTGGTATCCTGTGCCAAATCCAACCTGATGAGGAGACCCAGCAGTAGTAGTTAATAGGTGTATGTCTGGAGCTGGAAGGTTACTTGAAGCTCTTAGTGATCCTGTTCTGTACCTGCCAGTCAGCATCTGATTTTGCAGGTCTGTTCCATATTATGGGGGAGTAGGACTTGAGGCCGATGGCAGCTGCTTTCAACAGAAAACAGCCAAATTAACATTTTCTCACCACTGCAAGCAGGAAGTCTGAGAAGCAAATGGCTCTTGTATAAGAGGAGCAAACCTGTTGTAATCCTTCTGAAAGTCAGGGCTGAGCTGGTCTCCTCTAAGGCGAGTGGATCTGGATATGCCTGAGGCTGACACCAGGAAGCCAGTGACACAGCTGTCTTTGTGCATTTCAGTCTGTCTCATTTCTGAATCCCTGTGTTAAAGTCCATTCTTTCTTGGGGCTGCTGTCCTAATTCTGAGTTAAACTTGTTCCCTGGGGTAAACCAGATGCATTATCTTCTGGTGTTTCTGTAAAAATGTGGTAAGCAGTAAGGTCTCACTGGAAAACTTTAGCAATGGCTCCTTGTGACCATGGTCTCTCTTTCATCTCAGATGTTACCTTGTAAGATAAAAGGAAACTGAGCAAGAACAGTGTTGGTATAAATCAATCAGGGCCTGTAGCTCCTGCTGTTGTTTCTCTAGGTTTTATACATTTCTGTTGCTCCCTGAATTTTCTCCCAGTAATCACCTTTTTCTTCTTTCCCGTCCTGCCTGTCTTTTCCTGTGCCCTTCTGTGTTCCCACTCCTTGCCTGTGCCTAGCTGTAGTCCTCCACCGAGGCCAACTCCTTGGGCTCCGGGGTAAGTCCATTGCCTCCTCCCTGCAGCTTTCACTCCTTTTGCACCCACTAACCTTTGCAGTCGCTTTCCTACCCTTCCATCCTGCCATTCAGCTCTCTCCATTCATTTTTGCTCATAACTTTCATTTTAAATTGCATCTGAGAAAAACGACCAGAAACAGTAATGTAAATATCCTCATTCCCCATGGCTAAAAACATTTTCATCTATCTCATCAGCCATTTCTCTGGGTTTTTTTGTGTTAAGAGCACTTTTCTCCATCGGTAGTTCCTTATTGTGGTAGGCCAGGTTTGAGATGGGACTGTAAAGGTTCATTCAGTCAGAGAGTTCCAGAAAGCAGGAGTAGACTCTTCTTCCAAGGTCTTCCTTGGTCATCCTTGGTCTTCCAAGGATGCTTATCTCATCAACTCCAGGCCAATGACAGTAGGTGCTGTGACACCTGGCAGCTGGAAGTAATCAGCCAAGACTTTTAATCAGAGGGGACTTTGATAAACATTAAGAATTGATTGGTTTTGTGCCAGTTAAGGCAGGCTCAGAGTTCAAATTTGTTCTTATCTTTGCCTTTCCAGGGTCAGAAATGAGTACTTTTTTCTCATAGTAACACATATCTGTGGCTGTCCAGAAGCATTGTCAACATGTGTCTCCTCCTTTTAAAGCATCTGATACTGGTTTGCAGTAAGAAGCTATATACTGAACAAGAAGTAGTGCTAGTACCAGCCCTGTCTGTCAGTCAGATGAGCTCATCCAGTCATAGCTGCTCACAGCAAACCAAAGCACAGAGGTGCAGAGGGCCTTTATTTTGGGGATCTTCCCCCTGCACACACTGATTTTCATTTTTCCATCAAAATATTTGTACTTGTCCTGCCATCCTTGAACCTAATAGGTAGAAGTCTCCTTTGTTCAAGTTACTTAATAATTGAAATCCAGCCCAAGCTAAAATACAGAACTACAGATAATTAAGCATGCAATTCAGTTCTCTCACAGGAAGTGAAAGCCTTCTGATTTTCATACTGTTTCTGTTTTACTAATGTGAATGCATGCAGAAGGAAAGCATCACCCATCCTGAGCTCTGAGCACTGGTCTCTGTTCCTTGGTGAGTGGAAGCGTTCACATTTTGATGCCAGCCCCTGAGCCCACCTTGAAATCCTTGGAAGCTGTGGATGGTGAACATCTTTCAGATGTTCGTTGCCTGAGTAGCTGATCTTCTGGTGTCACAGCTAAAATCAAGGACTAAGGAAGGACCTCACTCCACTGCTGTGACACTTACTGGGCTGAGAGGCCTTCATCAGACACAGCTTGGCATAAGCAAAGGACTTGACTTGGAAACTGAGCAACTTCATTAATCCAGAAAATAGCAGTAATTCTCCTCCAGTTGCCCTTAATGTCTCATGGGTGTAGCGGACATTTTTTGATACCCTGCCAGGTACAAAAGACCAAGGTTGATTCTAGGACTGTAGGTCATTTCTGGATGCTGGAGAGGATTGCTGCTGTTGAAGAGGCCTTCAGTGGGACACCTCAGAGACCTTGTCTAGCTTGCCCTAAGGTCACTGCACCTCCAGGGATGTGTGCCTCATTAGAAGGCAAATACTAGACTGGATGAGAAAATAAGTTTGTTATGATGAGTGGATTGTTGCCAGCCTAAGAGAGAGGGACTGTATAGTCTAGTGTGGTCTCCTCCATCTCATCCTTTACACAAGACCTTTAAAGAGACCTTCACCTTTAAAGGTTTTCCTTCATGGCTCATGAGTTTTCTCTTTGATTCAATCCTTTCAAGGGGACTCAAAGCCATTGCTGACAATATTCCTCCTCCCTGTCCCCAGCCAACAAGACCTCACCAACTTCTGGAGAGGGCAGCCGCTCTGGCGGGGTCATCCACGTCTACGGTGATGACAACAGTGACAAGTCTGCCAGCAGTTTCATTCCCTACTGCTCCATGGCTCAGGCACAGCTCTGTTTCCATGGCCACCGTGATGCTGTCAAGTTCTTCGTCTCTGTGCCTGGTAAGGAGGAGCACAGCCCTTACTTGTGAGGGCCTTGTCCTGCCGTCTATGCTGCAGCAGGAGCTTGAGCTGATTTAGCACCTGCAGGTCCCTGTGGCTAACACATCAGTAGTTTAAACAGCAGCGACTTCTAGATTTCGTGTGTGTGTGTGCACCTGTGTGTTAACTGCATGGAGGCTGAGCAGAGGCACTGACAGCACCTCTATCCTCTCCCAGGCAATGTCCTAGCAACCCTGAATGGGAGTGTGTTGGACAGCCCCTCGGAGAACCCCAGCACAGCGGCCACAGAGACTGAGGGGCAGAAGCTGAAGAACGTCCTGGTGCTGAGCGGAGGAGAAGGGTACATCGACTTCCGGATCGGTGAGCGCCTGTGGTGCGAGCATCCAGAACGGGGAGGGGGGCGGGGCCGTGGTTGTGGGGAGAGGGGTCGCTGCTGTGGGAGTGAAATCTGAAAAGTACTGCTCTCTGTTTGTCCTGCCTCTGGCTGCAAGGGCAGATAGCAGGCGTTTTCCTTGCATGGCACAAGGCTGCCAAACCCTGTGCTCCTGCCTGTGCCTGCAGTGCCACACAGTCTGCCTTAATGGCCCTGGAAAGAATAAAACCATCTGCCACTGACTTCAAACATTGCTGCTTCACTGTGGTCGCCTGTGCTGTCTGTATTGTAAACATTGGCTTCCCCAAAAGGAAGGGTGTTTTTTTCCTAGTACTGGAGATGGTTTGTTCCACCAATACAGTTCTGCTTCAGAAGAGCACCATGTTGCTATAAATGTTCTCCAGGCATAAAGGAAGGTCTCAGCTCATGCTGGCTGTTGTCAGACTGCCGAGACTCTAACAGGGGTATTAACCTCTTTAGATGCATTCCAGAGCAGTGCAATTTGGGATTTTCTTTCTTGCCTTTTCTACTCTCTGTTTTCTGTCTTCAGGGGATGGAGAAGATGATGAGACAGAGGAGAATGCAGGAGATGCCACCCAGGTGAAGCCAGTACTTTCCAAGGCTGAAAGGAGTCACATTATCGTGTGGCAGGTATCCTATATCCCTGAGTGAGAAATTCTCCTTTCCCACCAATCTAAGTGTCCCTCATCCCGCCTGAATGCCAAGATGTACATACAGAATGCCTGCATTATACCTACTGCTGGAAACCGACCCCAGACAACTGCAACGGCTCCTGCCTCGGACTGTGACCCCCTTCTAACCTCTGAACTTGCAGCTTTCATCTTGGGCCTGTGCGCTTTCTGCGTGGTTGGATTATTGTTCTGCTCTGGAGCTGGCATCTACAAGGAGAGACATGGCAGCACATCGATGAAGTGGAGCTTGGAGCTAGAACTGTGCAAAGCCTTTGCCCGGTGCACACGAGCTGGCAGCTGGAGGGGTTGTGGCTCAGGTTCTCCAGCAGGTTGCCTCACTCCCACCTGCATGAGAAAGTAGTATGTCCCCCTGGCACCCCCCACCAAAGCACTGATGGTGAATCACAACTTCTACAGCACCCTAGCAGAAATACTTTCTAGTTCACCAGTGGACTCTCCACCTTATCCACCTATAAGCACAGAATAATGTCCCACGGACTGAGAGCAGCTAGGTCCAAGGAACCCTCGATAGACAGGAGTGTCAGGGTTTGGGCAGCACTTCTGCTGTTTGGCTGGAGAGGACAGTAGTGCCATTACTGTGGGGAACACATCCTCCATACCTGCAGATGGAAAGTCTACCTCCTCTGCTGTCGTCTCCGCAGTCATGTGCTGGGTGACTGTGTGTGTCCAGAGAGGATTGTTTGGTAGCCTCAGATAGGAGATGGATGTTAGATCATGGAGGCCACAGGGCCTTTGGAAAATGTGGTAGCAAAGGGGTACTGGAACTTTGCTTTTTTAAGAGCAGAAAAGGCGGCAATACTTTTAACTCCCCCTTCCAAAAATGCTAGGTGGAAAAGAACTCTTGAGCTCATTCTGAAAGGTTCAGGAGAAAGCTATCTCTGCACAGTGTTTGTTGGCTTTTAAAATGTCAGGAGAGGGCAGATGATGTTGGTCTACTGTGAATTCTGCATTAACACATTGAGATTACCTTGACTCGTAGGCTGTCCCCATCCCAAGAGCTGCTGGAAGGAGATGTCCGTTTTCCTTCACACTGTGGCTGTTGGTTAGGAAAGACTATGTGGGTGCAGTCAGGGTATAGAAAGGCTGTGTATTGCCTGAGGTCACACAGAAGAAGGAATTGAGGCCAGGTCTCCAGACCTTTTTTGCCTGACATTGAGCACTGACTTTGTTACTGAGTAGTTTGAAAACCTGGAAATTTCTGACTCCTGAAAGGGATTGACAAGCCCTGAGAAAAAGATTCTCATGGCCCTCCTTGTGTAAGCAGTTCTAGGGGATTGCAAATGTGCATCTTGCTTACAAGAGAAGCAGCAAAAAATGGGACCAGGGAGAGTGGTTTTGAGCTCCAGATGCAGAATGTGGCAGCTCCAGATGTAGAGGCAATGGTTGGTCCTCCCTTTCTGACAGCAGAAACAAGAGTCTTGTCTTCAGAAGGACAAATTCTGTTTCCTTTGAATACTCCCTCCTGGATGTGCAGGACTAGAGCGAAGTACCAGTTGTTAGCGATGAATTTGGAAGCTTCTGGTGGTCATCTTGTTTCATCCTGAGCTGAGCAACAGTCTGGGGTTCACAGGGATGTCCCTGTGCCAGCGGGGTGGTAGGGGGACAGCTGGGGCAAGTCTCATCGTCTGGAAAGCTCCCAGCTGTGTCTTGTGCTTTTTGCCATAGACTAGGCTGCCCCCAGGTCTTGTGGTCTGGAGCTGCTTATGTGCTGCAGGCATGCGGTATTCCCCGGGGAAGGTCTGACACGTGGCAGCTGTCCTGATACAGCAGCACTGAAACGATTTTTGGATCCACAGTTGAGAAAAGGCTAGGGCATACGTTTCCCCGCAGAGGGGCAAGAGGACGCCTCTGGAGAACAGAGGCCTCCAGGGCCGCCGTGGTGCCCACGCTGCCCATGAGCAGTGCTGCGCCACGCGCCTCCCCGCACCCGGGCACTGCCCTCTCGCTGCCTGCACACCCGCCTGGTGCCCGGCCTTGGCCTAAGGGATGCCTGGAGCTGCCGCCCACACGCGGGGGCACCGCTCACCAGGAACATCTCTCCGGGGCATTGCTGTCTGTGCCAGGCTTCTCACTTTCCCAAAATGCTTTCTGCTAGGAAGAACTCTTCAGATCACAAGACAAGAGTGCGTTAGAGTTAACAAGATCAACATTTAGACCACAGAGTCCACAGATATGTAACAGTTCATCAGTTATGGCCAGGTAAACTTCATAATTTGGGCTAATTAAAGGGGAAAAAAACCCAAAAGCCCTACTAGGCCCAGTTCCTTAGCTCTATCGACTCTTCCATAGGAAAATACAGAATTGCAACATTCTTACCTCTTACTGTTTGTTTTATATCTGGTTTTAGCAGTTGAAGTGACAGTACTTGGTCTCCTGTCACCCACTGGGCCCTGGCAACATAAGGAAACCAGTCTTGGGCCTCTACCAACAGGTTCCTTTCCAGCTCAGTGCATGTTTTCCTCCAAGAGAAGCACATGTCCGAGAGGGGCAGCTACAGCTAAGTAGAACCAGCTTCTGCTGTCAGCTCCTGTGGGCATTTGGTGGCTGCTGGGCAGCAAGGTGAGAACTGACTGGCTTCAATACACTTCCCTGTCATATCTCCACTGTGATGTATGTAAAGTATCTTGTATGTTACAAAAGGATTTTAAAAAGTGTCTTAAGGCCTGTAAACTCCGCTATTTGGTCTGAAGATGGCATTCTGTAAAGAGACTGCTGTATGAATATGTTCCCATGCTTTGTCCCCTATGCTATCAAACAACAAACCATATCTGTTCTGTATGTAATAAATGTGTTAACATCAGCAAGTGCAGGACATCTCATTCCTGTAAAGGCACTGGGATTTACACTCAGTCTTTAATAACAAGAAGACACTTAAAAGGGTGGGAATGGCAGCTTGTGTTCACCACTGAGCAGTTCAGTGGCAAGAAATGAGATGTGGATTGCTTACTGTCAGAGCAGAGGAGCTGCTGCTGCCAGCCACAGGGCAATCTGTAGCTTCTAGTGTCAGAAATAAAAGGCAGAAAAGACAAGCGTTCAGCTGCTGGCTAGCTGCAGCTGTCCTCCTGGTGTCCCCTTGGGGGTTAACACATCAGGCTCAGCTTTCAGCACTCGAGTTGCTGATGTTCCCTGTCAATACAGGGTGGTACTTCACAAAGTCCCATAGGAATCTGACATTCAGCACTGCTGGAAGTGAGTTCCTCTTAGTCCTAGCAGCACTTTAGACACATTCGTATTTATTTTGTGGAACTGCATTAATTCAAGGGCTGTACATAGCAGTAACAGACAAGGGAGCTACCACCAGGAGGGGCTTCTGCCCTAAGCAGGGGTCCCTAAGGTGAGTCACCTCCACAACCAACAGCTGTGCTGCTGTCCTGTGCAGGCCAGGGTGAAGTACAGCAGGCAGTGCTGCCTGGGTCCATAGAAGCATCTCCACAATATTTGGAAACAGGCCCTGGGACCCATCCTGCACCCCTGGCACTGCACCCTGTGATACAGCCAGGAGCAGTTTGACCAGGGCACTGGGTGCATTGCAGCCATGTCTGGCACCCGCCTGGGTGACAGAGGAAGGGGCTCATTTCCATCATCCTTCAGCCAACCACCCCCTGTGCTGTTAAAAGATCCAGATCAATGCACAGGTTTGAGAGTCCTGGCAGAGCTCCCAGCATGTTCCAGGTACTGAGTCCAACAGTGGCCATTCCAGGCAAATGAGGGTTGTGCAGCTTTGGCCTTCACAACCACACAGGGGTCTCAGGCTCCCCAGGGCTTTGTGTGGAGACATCTCCCTAAGTGTTACAGCCCCGAGGTCAGCAGCAGCAGCCCCACCTGGGCCCCCACCCGTGCATGGGCCCTTGCCACCCATGGCCCAGGAGGCTCATCAAAGCACCAGCTGCAGCCTTCAGTCTCTGCCTGAGCTGTGCCTATCTCCACCTGTGCCTGGATGCACCCCTTGGACTAGGCAATTTTCAGAGGTCCCTTCCCACCCAAGCCATTGTGATTCTATGCCTTACGGTGGATTATCTCTGTGTGCTTTTGCTCCTTGCTGGGTTCCCTGGCTGGACCCTGGTCGTGGGTCATTTCTTGCCTTCTCTGGGCTGTTGGTGGACCCCATTACCAGCACTTGGCTCTGCCCACTGTGGTCAGACTGTGGGCCTGTGCGCTGTCAGGGAGGGCACTGCCTGTGCTGGGGTTGTGTTGAGCTCCTGGCTGTGCAGGACAGAGGACTGCATTGCTCTACTTGTCCCATCTAATGCACATCTACACCTCCTTCCCCACCTCACCTGTCCTCGGTTTCTCTGCTGGTTCAGTAGCACCTCAATCACTGTAAGGACAGGAAGGCACCAGCTCAGCCCAGCAGCTGGCAGCAGAGGCTGTGAAAACCAGAGAAGCTCCTTTTTATTCAGCTGCAGCAGGATGTCACAGCCTCAAACTGTTCATGCTTTTAGCAACAGTCCCCATTTTCCCTCCCCTGGCCTTTTCCATTGCTTACGAAGCCAGAGAACCAGCCCTGACACAACAAAGGGACAAGAGCCCAGCCTTCTAGCCTTGTTGCAGGACTGGCTTTTATCTCATAAAAAGCCTTCCCTCTTATCCCATAGGATCCTCTGGTAAGGAACCTCAGGTAGCCAATGTTGATCCCTTTGCTTCTGCCTGCTGATAGCCTTTTTCCTGCGTTCTGTCCCACCCAGGCACCCCAGGCAGGGCATGGAGTCCAGTTTTTTTTTTCCCTTAGTAAATCCCTTCAGGCTACTTGTGATTTCAGGATGCCACAGCAAATGGAACAGCACCTCTTCACCACCCACTAGCGCAGATTAAAGAACCAAAGAGCTGCTTCTGCAGAGAGCTAATCTGTGGGGTTACAGAGCAAAACGGCTCTGGTGCCCCCTCTACCCACACGCAGACTAGACGCCCCAACAGTTGCTGACACAGCAGCAGAATCCACAGCCACTGCAAGAGAAAATGAAATGCTAAGAACTGCACTAAAGAGCTGCAGTTTTGTAACGCTGACCACAACACACTGCACTGGAACTGATGGTAATTTGACATTGGCTTCAAATAGCAAGAGCCAATCCTGTATACTTTGCATCACCAGAATTAAAATTATTTCTGCTATCTCCTGACAACCATCTCTGGGATGGATAGCTCTGGATAAGCTTAGCATCCAAAGTTGCGTTCCTCCTGTGTTCTTCATTGCTATCGTATGTAAGTAGCCCAGATGATTCTGCAGCAGTTACGAGAAATCCAAGGCTGTGCCTGTATTTGTAAGGTCTTTTAAACCTTGGTAAAGACTTGGTAAGGCCTCTTAAAAAGCTCTGCATTTGGACCTCACAATGATCTCCATGCACTGAAAAAAAACCCGTTTTCTTACTGTGCTGCAGAAATAAGAAAACATTTATTTTTGTTAGTAGATACATTTGTACACATCTGTGAAATAACATGATATTCTCAGTCATTTTTCTGTTATATATGTAGGACGCAAATTATCTGAAAATGTTCTTAAAAACCTCATTTTCAGGCTGTAAAGGCAACTGCTCCAAAGCACTGTTGCTGGATGACACGAGCTATGCATTCAGGTACTACACAAGGAACCAAGAAGGTTCCTCTACTGACTGAGACCAAAGTTATGGAAAAAAAAAATCCATGTTTATCTGCATCTTTCCTTTCAGATGAGGTGGCTGTACAGGGCAGGGGGAGAGAATGCCAGGAAACCCAGACACACCATGCCACAGCGGGCAAGGGGATCTTCTGTAAGATGATGTGCTTCTAGCAAACAGTGAGAGCACGTAGGCAGCTCAGGACACAGAACAGGTCTTTATACGGGTGTCCCTTTAGCTTTTTTCTTTGCACGCTGAGAGGCCATGACCTTCTCCAAATCAATCACTGGCTCCTCTGTGATTGGTTTTCCCTCTTTCTGCCACTGTGCAAGGATCATGGCTCGGAGCAGAGGCGGGTATGGAAGGTACCGAATGGTCTCCTCCGACACTGGGGTGAATTTCTTGAAGGCCTCCTCCTCATGCTTGGGCACCATACGCCAGTCATGGTACATGATTTTGTCGATTTCTCTCACTTCTTCTTCAGTTTCGCCTGAGAAAAGATGATGAACACCCATGGACAACACTGACAATAAACTCCCTCCAGGAAATGCAGCGTGTCAACTCTGGTATCAAAAATACTGCAACAGGCAATAGTAAAGTTTTCAAAGGAAGGAAAAAAAAGGAAGTTTTCAAAGGATCAGACAGCATCTTCTCTGCTCTGTCCTTAGAAATCAAACCAGAAACAGACCGAAAGAACTACAGGCAAGCTGTTGCAAATCTGTGGCTGACTCTCTCTCTTAATTTAAAATGTCACTTAATCTCCCTCTTAGTTTCCATGGCTAAGGAACAAGAGCAGTTTCTCTCTACACTTGATGAAAGTTCCCTGGGAAATTTAATGTCAAAAATACCCAACAACTTAAAAACCTTTGAGAAATGTTTCAGAAACTCTAGTAAGCAACAATTGTTTGCCTAATATAAAGCAGCTTTTAAAAGGGAAATTCACGCACTTAACTCCAAGCATTAATTTTCAATCCCAGTAACATAAATTTACTTGCCATCACTCCTATTTTACTAACGAATTTACCTGGAATATCTTCATGTGTTCTTTCTGTGTCTTGCTTTCTAAGTCTCAAAACAGTCTGTCACCTTGTCTCATCCCTTGGTAGTGCACTCTTTCTCAGGGTCAGCCTACGCTGCCTCTCCCACTACACCCCTTAGCAATGCATTCAGTGGGGGCTAGGCCCCAGCATTTGAAACTAAACCATGGAGAACTTTTCTGATTAGCAGATCTGAGAAAAACAAATTTCCCAAGCAGGAAGGCTGCGGTTTTGCTGCAGCTCCCCCCTCTCCCGTTATTGTCGGGTCCTGCCTACAGCAGCTCTCTCCAAACCTCGTGTGCAGGACAACAAGCCGGGTTTACCTCTGAAGGTCAGGTAGCCCCAAGCTCTTCCATGATCCATGTTCTGCAAAGAAAACAAGCACCTGTTGAGGGCCGGAGGTGGCGGGGTGTGGGGGTGTGGGG